GGAGGGGAGCCTCGTTTTATGCTTTACAAAATGTGTTTTTAAAAAACTGAAACAAACAACAACAAAAAACCAATACTGAGACATAACAGAATCCTAAAAGAAGTTGGTGAACCTCGTCAAGAACATGTATGAAGTTGCAAGCTTGTACATGATGGCCAGCACACTGACAGCTTTGACATTAAGACTGGTGTGAGACAGGGATGTTTACTATCACTTTTCCTCTTCATCTTGGTGATCGACTGGCTAATGAAGAAAACAATCAGAGGAAACAGAAATGGTATACAGTGCACCCTATGGACACAGCTGAAACATCTGGAGTTAGCGTACGACTTCACCCCTCTGTAGCACACCCAGGAATATAACGAAAGACTTCAGTTTTAAACAGCTTAGCTAATCAGAGTCTGTTGGATTGAGGATTCACCGCGGAAAGCCGTAAGTCCCCAGGATAGATGCACAACGAAAGGAGCAGGTCACAATAGAAGGAAATGCACAAGAAAACTATCTTGGGAGTGTAATTGACAGAAAGGGAGGAATAGGTGCTGAAATAGAGTCCCGCCTCGGAAAGACACAGGTTGGTTTCACATCTTTGAATAAGATTTGGAGGACCAGGCATGTCTCACTTCGAACAAAACCGAGGATTTTTTTCAGTTCAAATGTGAAGTCAGTCCTATTGTATGAATGTGAGACATGGAACGCATCTCAAACAAACTTCACTTTTAAAAAAAATAATAATAATAGATAGCATTTGTATAGCGCATATCCCCGCTCAACAGCAGGCTCTATGCGCTTTACACTATATTATTACCCCAGCAGACCATAGAACATTCCGAAACATTCTCAGCTTCCCGGGAAGCATACAGTGCAAGCAGCCGATTAAGCGCTCAAACACTAACAAACTGACAAGATCTTTCGCTGTCTATAGCCGGGTACCCATTCCCACCTGGGTGAAGTGAGGAAAATTCGTGTAAAGTGCCTTTCCCAAGGACACAACGTCGGGCCCCTGACGGGATTCGAACCCACGACCTTACGGTTGCGAGTCCGAGAGCCTAACCACTAGGCCACCGACGCCACAAAGGATCCAGGTTTGCTTGAGTGTCTACGGAAGCTTCTAACTGAGGATCAGATGGACAGACAGGGTCACCAACGCGGAACTGTCAAGGAAAACAAGACAGATCCCTGTCAGAGATGAGGTGGGAAGAAGGCAGTGGCGATGGACAGGACATCCTCCCAGGGAGTCAGGCAGCTGCATAATAAAGAAAGTATTGGAATTGAATCCACAAGGTAAAAGATCAAGGGGAACCTGGAGAAGAGTCATAGAAATTGATGTACAGAAAAGTGGGAAGACAAGGAATAACATCAAGAGGCTAGCCCAGGACAGAGAAAAGTGGAAAGGGTTTGCTCGTAGCCTATACTCTGATCCGGATATGAAAGACAACGAATGAAAATGAATGAAACAAAACATTCTACTTATCTACATAGTGAGTTAGTTCTATGTTGTGAACAGGAAATCATATTGTTCTACTGTGGTTAGAAACATAGTTTATGTAAAAGTCATAAATCTCCATTATAGAGGTTCGGAATGTGTGATTCACTGGGAAAACTATCTCATCTCTTCATGACTGGGACAAAGGCAAAAGTAAAAAAGTATCACGAGCAGACCTCATCTAGGCGGACACAGGCAACTGGCGGGAGAAAAAGCAGGGGATTTTTGGGGGGATGGGTTGTCTGTGTGTGTGTGTGTGTGTGTGTGTGTGTGTGTGTGTGTGCGTGCGTGCGTGTGTGTGTGTGTGTGTGTGTGTGTGTGTGTGTGTGTGTGTGTGTGTGTGTGTGTGTGTGTACGTCTGTGTGTGCCTATCCTTGTTTGTCACTGTGTGTATGTCTATATGTGGGTGCATTTGTGAGTGTATGTGAGTGTGTATGTTTGCGTGTGTATGTATGTGTGTGCAAGTGTGTGTGCAAGTGTGCGCATGTGTGTCTGCATGTGTGTGTGTTTGCGTGTGTGTTTGTGTGTATACAGACGCACAGACATATCAAATTAAGTTCGAAGCAAATAACACGGCCGTGTTCCTGTTTGTGAAAGAGTAAAATTAGTCACAAGATGAAACGCACTAACAGAATCAATGAGTAACGGTAAACACAAGGCGCGAGAGCATCACAAGGTTACATGCAACTAATAGCTTTCACTATCCGTTTCCTCTTTATGTCTTTGTTCTTTATGTCTTTGTCTGAAACAAATTGCAAAATAGTGGCGTCTGTGGCCTCGTGCTTAGGCTACCGGACTCTTAATCGTGAGGTTGCAGGTTTGGGGGTTCGAGGCGGGGGTCCAACGTTGTGTCTTTGGGAAAGGCACAGGTGTATGTTAGTATTTTGGCGCCTATAAATGGCTGCTTGCACTGTATGCGTCCCAGGAAGTTGAGGTTGTTCCAGAATGCTCTCAGGTCTGCTGGGGTAATAGTATAGATTATGAAGCTCATAGAGCTTGCTGTTGCGCGGGGATTTGCGCTATACAAATGCTATCCATCTTCTTTTTTTTATTATTATTATTATTATTATTATTATTATTATTATTATTATTATTATTACAATTATCATTATAATAATAATTATTATTATTAATGATTTAACACCACTTTCAATACTCTAAGGTTATATAAGAGGCAGGACCTCCAGATTCAATGTCAACCCCCTCTAGGACAGAGCCAAATGGGTAGAGAGCCTTAAAATTTCTCCCTAAACAACCCAAATTCAAAACGCTCCTCTGAGGATTCGAACCAGGGACAGCTTTTCATTTTGCCAAGCATGATACCATGTGAACTAACGCCACGCCCCTGCACCGGACAGTGAAGTCTCAGCCTGGAACAGCGCATTATCTACCTACAGGAAGGGGTAAAAATGCCAATTTATTCAAACTACTGTACATTTTTTAATAAGCTGATTCATATTTACGCTTGGTGCAATCCAAAAAAACCATTTCAAACAACTGCTCATTTCTCTGCCAATTGATTTAAACTTGTATTTTGTACTATCCAAGAATGCCATTTCAAACTACTGTTTCTTTTCTCTGCCAGTTAAAATATACTTACATTTAGTACGATCCATAAGAGAGAGAGAGAGAGAGAGAGAGAGAGAGAGAGAGAGAGAGAGAGAGAGAGAGAGAGAGAGAGAGAGAGAGAGAGAGTGTGTGTGTGTGTGTGAGAGAGAGAGAGAGAGAGAGAGAGAGAGGGAGAGAGAGAGAGAGAGAGAGAGAGAGAGAGAGAGAGAGAGAGAGAGAGAG